AAAAAATGGAATTTTGGTCTGTAGCACCTACACCAAACACCCTGTATATTTAAAAATTATATCAAAATATAGCTCTCATGAACTCCTAAAACTTTTGTATGAAACATTTTTGTGTATCTCCTTCAACAAACCAGATATTGTATTACAATACTAATGTATTGATATTAATACGACCAAGGAGTAGTGCACTTGGAGTAGTGCTAGAATACTTGAGAATGGTGTAAAAACCGAAACCTTGGTCGTATTAATATCAATACATTAGGTAAGTGGAAATTAGACAAAGTATTTTATTCGTATATCTAATTCTGATGGAATGATTGAAAGGTTCCTCAGAACTACGGAAGCTGCTCTCAAAAGCCATTCTGGAAAATGGTCCAGAGATCTATCTATACTTCTACTTGGCATACGAGTTACACCAAGAGAAGATTCAGGTGGTATCAGTAGCGTGGTATCAGTAGGTGGAATATGAAATGACTCTGAGAATCTCTGGAGAAAAAATTATTGAAGATGCACAATCCATCCCTAAACAAGAATAATTTCAAATAGCTTCAAAAAGTCAATGAAAAAAATAAAAACAACACAAGGTTCTGATAACAGTAACAGAAAAATATTCATGTATAAAAAATTACCAACTGCTGCACATGTCTTCGTTAGAATAAATGTAGTCAAAAAAAAACTTTTGCAATAGCTATATTCTGGACCATAGAAGGTTTCAAATCGAGTTGACAAATATCTCACGGTTTTAATAAGAAAAAACACATGCATAGAGAGAATTTCAAAAACCAAACATGAAATGATATCAGAATTTAACGTAGCATCTGAATATGTAATGATATACAGGGCGTTCTATTTTAAAAAATGGAATTTTGGTCTGTAGCACCTACACCAAACACCCTGTATATTTAAAAATTATATCAAAATATAGCTCTCATGAACTCCTAAAACTTTTGTATGAAACATTTTTGTGTATCTCCTTCAACAAACCAGATATTTCCTGTCACATAAAATGTGGTACACCCGGTATAATGAGAAAAAAATTGGCTGTCAAAATCTTACTACTGGAAATGAAAACGAAATGGACAAACTTTCTACGGAAGAGTCCTACACCACCCGCTCTGAAAGAAAATTGAACTTCCTCATTCGAAACATGCATAGTCTCAGACAGAGGAGGGAGTAGTGTCGTATCACATCATCACAGTCATTAGCGCCCAGTATAAAGTGTTTAGAAGAAACAGAATATAAAAACAATTTGTGTGAGATTGTTGGTCAGATATTGAAATAAACAGCTTCGTGAATACATATATATTGAAGAAGTTATTAATAATTATTTGCTAATTACAATTGGACAGCGAAGCATCAGTCACCGATCACCTCTTAATGATATCAAACCGTATGTGGCAAAAAATCTTCACGTTTATATAAACGATGGAAGGATCATCTCAATAATGACTTACTATTAGCATTTTTGAAAATCTTTTAGATAATGCCCTGAGCCAACAAGAATCTCTGATAAATAAATCCTTCATAGAAGGCATATTTCCACCTTTTCTCAAAACATCAATTGTTATACCGATCTATAAAGGTGGTGAAGTGAGCTTTCCTATGAATTTTAGGCCCATTTCCCTCATTCCCACATTAGCAAGAATCATCAAGAGACTCGTCTAGGGGAGCATTTTTGACTTTTTGCAGGCGTGTGATATATTGAGCATCAAACAATTTGGATTTCAGTACAAAAAGGACAAAAATGATGCAATCTTTTCACTGTTATATTAACTTTATACTGGGATTAATGATGGGGAAGTTGCTACGGCTGTATTTCGTGATTCATCGAAGGCTCTTGACTGCGGGAATCATGAGATACTGCTGCGGAAGCTTCACCGTTACGGATTTCGAAATAAAGCACATTCATGGTACACGACATATTTATCTGGCCGTACATACGTAGTTGAGACAAAATCAATCTCAAGTTATATAATGTTAATGTCACCGTGTTCGCTGATGACACCACCATACTATGGCAAAATGATAAGCAATCTGCTCTTCATCATATCAATTATTCAGATATAATAAAGGTCAAAGACTAGTGCGACTTGAACCTTTTATCCTTTAACATGTCGAAAACTAAGATAGTGTCCTTCAAATGTGCAGTTGCTGATAATTCTTTAAATCACAAGATTTTCGAAAACAGTGTTTTTCCAGCTTCAGAAAAACAGTGAAAATACTTCTTCCCGATAGAACCTATTATAGTTTGGAAAAATATTATGTGGAGAGAATAGAATGTTAAGTAGACCAGAACTACTTCTATTGTCTGTTACATTTTGAATTTCAAATAAGTGACTGATTGTTTTTATTCAATTCAATTTTATATGGTAGTGACTATTTTTATACATTCATCAAATGTTATGAATTTAATTCATTTACATCTATATATACATGCTTTATCAACAAGATGTTATTTTTTATATCAAAGCATATTTTGATTGATTGATATAATATTTACACAACGGCAAGCCATTTTTATTGAACTTTCAAATTCTTTTAATAATTCAGAATGAATACCCAATGATTCACCACCCCACATTTGGAATTATCTCTGTGCTCAAAGTTTTTTTTGTCTGTGTCACTCTTTGTTATTTGTAGTCCGAATATCAAGTTGAGCGAATGGATAGTGACTGTTAGTAAATCTCCACTTTGGTATTTTGAATTGAAAATAACGCTTATTTTATGTCAACACCAAATATGGCTCATATCTGAATAATATATACAAGTAACGTGTGGTACACATCAATAAAATTATAGGATTTATAGGATCTGTACTGAGAAAGTAAATTTTTGTTTTAATACTATAATAATATTATATTTAGGTGAATCAGGCACTTTTAGTCTCAAAACTACAATAACATTATATTTAGGTTAATCTATCACATACAAGCAACGGTCTCACCACTGACGGTTCTTGATTTTGTATCCTCGCTTTTTCGTTTTATTTGATGATATTCATATTTGTATTGGATATGCGAATGAACTTATATTATTATAGGTATAGGTAAGGAAATGAAATATGCGGAACAACACTTGAACAAATATAATGAAACAGTATTATCATTTATTACATATTCAATTAGCAGAATATAGTATCTCAATACATGAAGTGAATTAATTACCTCCATAAAGGATGTGAGTCGAAGTGTTCATCTCCAGCATAGCTCCTTAGTGAGAGATTTGGTAGCAATTTGAACGAAAGATATATACATGTTGAATTAAAATGTGCATTCCCTTGAATGACTTCTCTCGTGAACTTTCAAACTACTACCATGAATGAAGTATTTTGAACAGACTACACTGAAAGGTTTTTTCCCCAGTATGACTCCTTTCATGAGCTTTCAAAGAACTAATGTGTGCGAAAGTTTTCGGGCAGACTGTACATTGAAACGGCTTTTCTCCGGTATGAAGTCTTTCATGAGCTTTCAAATCAGCACTTTGCGTGAAAGATTTTGAACAGCTCCTACATTTGAATGGTTTATCTCCAGTATGTTTTCTCTCATGAATTTTCAAAGAACTACTCTGACTGTAAGATTTTGGGCAAAGCTTACACTGAAACGGTCTTTCTCCGGTATGAGTTCTTTCATGCACTTTCAAAGTACAACTTTGAATGAATGATTTTGGACAGAATTTGCACTGAAAACTCCTTTCTCCAGTATGACTCCTTTCATGAACTTTCAGACCACCACTTTGAGCAAATGATTTTGAACACATCGTACACCGAAACGGTTTCTCTCCAGTATGACTTTTTTCGTGAGCTATTCGGTCACCACTTCGAGTGAAAGATTTCGAACAAAATCTACACTGGAACGGTTTCTCTCCGGTATGAGTTCTTTCGTGAACTTTCAGGGCATCATAACGGGTAAAGAATTTTGAACAGAACGAACACTGGAAAGGTTTTTCACCAGTATGACTTATTTCGTGAACTTTCAAAAGACTACTTCTAGTGAAGGATTTCATGCAAATTTCACACTGAAACGGTCTTTCTCCAGTATGAATCCTTTCATGGTTTTTCAAAGTAATTTTATGAGCAAATGACTTCAAACAGAAATCACACTGGAATGGTTTCTTCTCCGAATGAACAACGTCGATTCCATTTTCCATCTTCATTTGTCCGTGATCGCCAATGACTTTGTTATCATCGTTGCCATCCATTAAGTCAGTACCTGCTCCTCGTTCAGCAGGATCCGAAAGAAGTGGCTTCACATCTTGGCTAAAGTCCTCAGCTCGCATATAGTTTGAGAAGTTTTCTTCATCCACAACTTCGCACTTAATATCTTCGTGAACAATGTCGATTTCATCTTCCATCTTCATTTGTCTGTGTTCTTCAAAGCTTTTGTTATAAACGATTCTATCCATCGAATTCAAGTTGTTAATGAAGTCAGTATGAAATATTTCAGCTCCTTGTGGTTCAATTTTCACTGAAGTAATATCGAACTTTCCAGATTCATCGAACGTTTTACCTTCTTGTGGTTCAGCTTTCAGTAAATTGAATTCGGGAAACATTTTCGAAGTAGTTTGGATGGATTTCTTCATTGTTCTTCCATATGCATCAGTAGCCATGTCGAATTCTATGATAATATTCTAAAACACACAATCATTCACAGAATACCAATTTGAAAAATTGTATACTTGTAGGAATTCCTTTGATAACACAACACTAACAATTGTCAATCACAACTGACTCTTTTTCGACCTGGTCCCATATTTATATTAGACTGAATTAAATTGAAATTGTCATTAACACCAATCAAAAATGAGCTCATTCACAGGTAGAATAAATGATTCCTGACAGGTACCAATATTTACTTTAATTGTAGTGAGTTGATGACATGTTACCTCATCAACGATGCAGCTCGAAAAACTATTCAATTTCGTACACGTTCTCTTGAAATATTTTATGAAATGGCGATATATTCATCGCTATCATTGCCGGAACAACAAATATAATGAATCAGTATTATTAGTTATTACATATTTTATTGGTATAAGTAAATATTCAATTACATGAAATGAGAAATCTATAGGAGGTAAGTGAGTAAAATCGATGATATCTATCATTGTCCCTCAGTGAGATATTCCGTAGCGATATGAGTAATTAGAGTGAAAGTTTTTGGACAAACCTCATACTGAAACGGGTTTTCTTTGGTGTGACTTCTTTTTTACTCTATTTGTAAATTTCACATATTTTCTGTTTGGTGATGGAGAAGTATAGAGCCATAGAAATTCACTTTTCAAAAAATCAATCTCTCCTTCACAATATTTCTTCCTCAATGCAGATCTTACCAATTATATCATGATTTCTCTGTCAAGAATGTCCGTCAATGGGTGGACTTGAGAAACGAGAATGAATTTATTTATATAACTTCAACTTCATTACCCCTTAATGACTATTTTTTTCTGAGTGCAATTGTTTACAATAGTCGATAATAAACTTTTTTTAATTGAAATCACGTGACTGGAATGTGACAAGGGGGCCGAAGAGTGAGGCTGAGTCACAAGAGGGGCCGATAGGTGAGGCAATACTAAGGGGGCCCACGCTTGAATCTTTTCGATACTCATTTCATCCTGCGTCGATTACGTCACACGTTTCTCTCTTCCACTCAGTAAAGTTTCTCTCTGAAATACATACCAGCGACGCACGACCTTGAAGTGGGCCAGAATCGGTGTTGTTCATCTACTGTGAATGTCGATTGAAACCGAAATCACATGAACATATTGAGTTCATGTGTTGTTTCAGAAGAAAACAATGTTATTAGCCATGTCGTTATACAGATGAAATTGACATGGAAACGGAGTAAATTATGTATTAATCAAATATTGTTTGGAACAATTTTAAATCTAAACGATAAAGTTGATATTATTCCATTTCATTGTGGCTTGAATAATTTTGTGATGGAATCGACAAATACTTGATGAAAATCCATAATGTATTCAAGTAAACCTTCATTTTGATATTTTCTATAAACACTTTCACAAATACGCACGCAACACGTATTTCGCTATACAATAGTTTCTTTAGGCGTGTCTTTCATATCTGAAAACCACATATTCGATGATATTTTTTTTGTTTTACAGATAGAAGTACCTGAATTTCAGGTACCTGTGTTTTACCTACACAATTAATGTTAAATGTCTACCTGGGTTTTAGATTGATGACCATTATCATGAGAAAAGAAGAGAAAGTATTCAACCTCATTTTGATAAACATGTAATAAATGAGATCATCTGAACTTATGTATCAGTTAGTTACCAGTTTGGAAAAAATGTCAGAAACCAGTAGTGTTTTATTTTTATTTGATCACTCCATAAATGAATGTACCCATGAATCTATTTATTTCGGAGTTTAAAACTTTTCTCTCCTAAATGTAATACGTCATAGCCATGATTGAACTCATGTTCTTCTGGGACAAAATTTTCTTCAAAAAAATAATTTTTCTTACGAAATGTTTTTTCGGGTAATGAATTACTTTGAAAATCACTGTCTTACTCTGTATATGATTGAGAAATTTCACAGTTGATTATTCAAAAATTGTGAGCATTTGTTCCCATAATTGTTTCGAATAGATTGGGATTATGTTTGAATTACCTGTAACACATATCATAGTACTGAATCTAGATAAGTTTGGTACATATTTCTATCCACATACCATAATGCTTGTGACGTATTCCGTAATTTGTTTTATTCTCATCCTAGACATGTTTCTTTTTGTCTTTTCACAATTTCATTTCTATATTTTTATTCGCGTATTTATTGACATTTATCTTATGACATATACATCGATATTCTTTCACTACCTACTACTTTGGCAATGATCAGAATATCTTCAACAGTTCCTCAATTGAAACTGGAAAAGAACAAAAATTATTTTTTCTAAAAATGAATGAATTGATTTCTGGAAAAAAATTCGTACAACCGAACAAATAAAACTCATCAACTTCTCCTGAGTTCAAAAACAATATCTGAGCCATCCTACTAACATACGATTTTTTATACTTGTATCATAAGTTACCTCCACGATTTTGAATGAGATTGTATCAGGCTGGATTTTGCCGCCTCTGAATTTTACAATATTCCTACAACTACAACTTCTCGTCACATACATCCAGAATAAGTTCTGAATGAAGAATGAATCAGGAATATGCCCAATTCAATTTTGAAAAGATGTAACTGAATAATTGATTCCGCAAAAATAATTATCTCAATTCCTGTCGGTTACTTACCTGTTGATTTTAATTATCAAGGTTCAGAATGTCAATTGTATATATCCATTTCGTGACTAAATATTAACGATATTGGCAAGCTGGTCATCAAACAGGACGAAAAATATTTAATATCTACAATTATATGCTATGTCTGAAGTCTATATAAGGAAATAAATATTTTGAATGGGACCTCAAAATATTCATCTCTCATAACTACCTACACCGTGTAGTTATTTCTGCTACTTACTTTACCTAAATGCTTCGTCCATGGATTGTACTTGTATGTAAAAAGTGATAACAAAAATGAGTGCAAAGAAAATTAAAGTCAGTCTATCTCCAGCGATTGTTTCAATTCAAGGAACCTCAACATGACTCAGTCATTAATTAAAAGTAGTATTTAATAGTAATATTAGTGAATAATAACAGTTCTGATATGAGTGACTTCAGAGGGATGGTCCAATGGATTTTTCGAGAAATACTTATTTCTGAAAACTGGAAATTATGAAGACAAAAATTTGAAAATTATTCAGTTGCTTCCTACGTGGTAGGAAATCATAATGAAAAGAGAAATGAAAATTTCTATCTTTTTTACCACTTTTATTTGTAACTATTTGTGTCTCAATAAACTGAGACACACCTACATACACATAAAACACTTCCTCTTAAAATCACAACACACCAACATCACTTTCCAATACATACTGGCGCGTACGCGAACACTGTTCTACATCTTCAGTTTCTCATAATACTAAATAGAAATTCTCTTCAATAATATCTATGTTCAAATAAAACAGTTTTTTTTCAAACTGAAATGAATGAAATACTTTTTTAAAAAAACCCTGTTCATTCTATACAAAATTCCTATTATCTTCAGTCGATCATAATATAATTTTGTATATAGATTCACAAAACTCTTGTTATAAACGAATTGAGTTAATTGAAGAGTTACAGTTTTAAATTCAAACAAACAATATGTGTTCAGATCAAGCTGATATTGCTCTCCATTTGATACAGTTTATTTTTCTCTTCAAATAGGTAGTGGTAGATTTTGAGATGAAATTATATTTTCTTGATTCAAAATAGTTCATCTTCGCAATAATATAATCAAACAAATCATGTCTAGAAAAGGCCAAGAAATTTGATTTCTTCGTTAAAAAAAGGGTGATTCTCTTGTGAAACATTTCGCTATTGGTATGAAGTAATAGTTTCTCCAATAGAGATAAAAATTTCAAAGCAACCTATGATCTTCTTTAAAAGAGATACTTTTTACTGTGTGTAAATAGTCAGGATCAGATATCTGAACAAAACACATATTTTTTAACAAATTATAAAGATAGATTCACTGGTTTGGGTTGTCTTAAAGAAAAAAATCACATTACCTCAAATGAAAATGCGATACTAGTTGTCCATCCTCCGAGATTTACATGCTGTAATAGTGGCTAGGACTATATAATGGATGGATCACTAGATTTGAAGTACCATTCAGACTAACCACAGATCAAGAAAGACGGTTCGAAAGTATCTCATTCTCAAAATTTTCCAAAATAATGGGTTTCAATCACTTGGGACCTACACCATACCATCCAAGTTCTGATGGAATGATTGAAAGGTTCTTCAGAACCTCTCTCTCAAAAATCTCTCAAAAGTAGTTCTGGAAAATGGTCCAAAGATCTATCTATACTTCTACTTGGTATACGAGTTACACCAAAAGAAGATTTAGGTGGTAGCGTTGAGGTGGAATATGAAATGACTCTGAGAATCTCTGGAGAAGAAATTGTTGAAGATGCACGATCTATACCTAAACACGAAGAATTTCAAATAGCTTCAAAAGAAAAGAAATAAATAAAAACAACACAAGGTTCTGATCATAGCAACAGAAAAATATTCATGCATAAAAAATTACCAACTGCTGCACATGTCTTCGTTAGAATAAATGTAGTCAAAAAAACTTTTGCAATTACTATATTCTGGGCCATAGAAGGTTTCAAATCGAGTTGACAAATATCTCACGGTTTTAATCGGAAAAAACACATACATAGAGAGACTCTAATCAGACTTTATAGTATCAGTATCAGAATGAACCAGATATCAACAATGAGAACATATATTACTGGAGTTTTATCCCAACACCAAACCGATATTTCAACAACTCGACACGTGTTTCAATCACCAAATGTTTAATCTTCCTCTTGAAGATGATCACTTGGTGATGGAAAAAGGCGTCGAGGTGTTCAAATAACGGTTTGGTGTTGGGATAAAATTCCAGTAATATATGTTCTCATTGTTGATATCTGATAACTGATTTGAGTTATGATGTTGGGATACAATTCCAGTAATATCCATTACTACATCAAAGA